CATTTTGACGAGGGACTATTTGGGACCTGTACCGAAGACTTGGTGTTGACGACATTCCCATCTTTCCCCTCTTCTTCGTCTGATCCCCTCCTCTTCGTCTGTGTATGGTCTGGACCTGGCGCATTTCTTCCTGTGTGTAGCGCCAGGCCCATCACACCTTGCGATGATGATGATGTGTGTTTAGTCTGCATTGCGACATTGATTGGGTTGATCATTGGTATTTTAGCCTTCCACTGCGCTATCCTATACTATGTGAGAGAGGTCGGTTCTTGGCTCTGGTCTGTACCATTACGGTATGCGACACTCCGCCTCTTGGACTTCCTCCGTTCTTGCTAAGCAGGTTCAGGCTGCAGCTCTGAAAGGCGAAGAGGACTCCACCGGGTGCGGAAGGGATGTGAGGGAATACCACGTGCAACCAGTTATCCCTCCAATAGCTCTCCCTGCGAAAGATGTAGTCAGCAATCCGATCGTAGGTTGCGCCCTTCACTCCCTTCTCAGCCCCTTTCACCCAGTAGGGGACTACCAATGTGTGCCTCGAGGTGAGGGACTCATTGGCCCTGATGATGATCGTCTGGTGTCCAGTGTAGTCATATCTGAACTCCTCACTACGCTTGCCCGACTCTTGGGCGGTAGTACGCTGACGAGCCAGCTTGATTTGCCTGTGTCCACAATCTGGAGTATACGGAAGGCCTTCCTGAGCAGCCCGGTCGACAGCAGTGCTGCAAGGGTAGAGCCACGCCCAAGTGAGTCTGGCCAATCGGCAACAGCACAAGAATGGGAGTCCACCCCTGCAGACCTGACTTGGACAGCAACAAGTAAGTGTAAGGGCTCGTCTGAGTGGCCCAGCAAATCAGCAACTATGAATAAATGAGGTCCAGCCTGAATGGGCCTGGTCAACCGAAACTCAAACCAACTGAGGGCCCGCCAGAATGAGCCCAGCCAGCAGCAACTGGAAATAAATGAGGGCCCGCCTGAATGGGCTCGGCTAGCAGCAACAATATATAAATGAGGGCCCGCCTGAATGGGCCCGGCCAGCAGCAATACCAAATAAATGAAGGCCCGCCTGAAAGTGCCCATCCAACACCAAATAAATGAGGGCCCCTCCTGAATGGGTCCGGCCAGCAGCAAATCCAAATAAATGAAGGCCCGCCTGAAAGGGCCCGACCAGCACGAAATAAATGAGGGCCTGCCTGAATGGGCCCGGTCAGCAGCAAATCCAAATAAATGAAGGCCCTCCTGAAAGGGCCCGACCAGCACCAAATAAATGAGGGCCCGCCTGAATGGGCCCAGCCGGCAGTAAATCCAAATAAATGAAGGCCCACCTGAACGGGCCCAGCCAGCACGAAATAAATGAGGGCCCGCCTGAATGGGCCCGGCCAGCAGCAAATCGAAATAAAGGAGAATAATAGTCCAGCCGGAATGGGGCCTGGCCAACAGCAAATGATGGGCCCGCTGGAGCAGCAACTCACCGGACCAATGAGGGCTGAACTGCAAAAACACTGGAGCAGCAAGGACTGAACTGCAACTCACTGGAGTAATAAGGACTGAACGGCACTTTTTCGGCCAGCAGAGGACTAAACTACAATTGTTAAATCAGCTAGAACTGGGCTGCAATTCTCCCCATCGACAGGGGCTGGATTGCATTGACCCCAACACCAGGGACTAGGCTGTACATTACCGGGGCAGCAAAGATCGAGCATCTGACTGCAGTCTTAACTCTAATGGGCGCCGTACCCAGGATGTGACCAGGCTACATTCCCTTCGTAAGCAAGACATACTTTATCAGTCGAGTCTAGAGAGTGTGATCAGCAAGGTCTCATTTCCAGGGTGGACCTGAGGAACGACGTAGATCCTGGCCGTGCACTGCAGAAAGTCCCCACCTTTGCACCAGGTTCAGATCATGAGTGGTGTCACAACACAGCTTGTCGACCAGATTCAGACCACATGCTGCTGCGTTACACCACCTACGGACCAGGTTCAAACAGTGTAATGCGGCAGCACCCCGTTTGTGGACCCGGCTTAGACCATGCGATGTGATAGCACTGTTTTAGAATCAGTAGGATCGAGCTACCCGAACCTGCTCATGCGTGCCTGTGCGCATCAGTGGGGATTAAACTGTGCAACTCTACGCCCACTTCCCAATTAAAGAGAACAAGCTGCGCGAACTTGCACGCTCCTTACAATCAGTGGTAACGAACTGCGTGATCGTGTGCACGCCATCCAATCACCGGGAACGGACTGCGCGATCCTGTGCACCATCCAATCAACGGGAATGGGCTGCACGAACCTGCGTGCACCTCCCAATCGACGGGAACGGGCTGCTCTAACCTGCATGCGCCTTCCAATCAACAGGAATGGGCTGTGCGAGACTACTCGCACTATCCAATCAGCGGGACGATCCGCGCAAGCCTCTTGATCAGCAGGGACGAACCACTTGAGCCTGTGTGCATCTTCCAATCAGCAGGGATGAACCATACGGGTCAGCGCGCACCTTCCAATCAGAAGAGACGACCATACTGGCCAGTGTGCACCTTCCAATCAGAAGAGACGACCGTACTGGTCAGCGCGCACCTTCCAATCAACAGGAACGGGCTGCTTGAGACTGCGCGTGGTATCCATTCAGCGGGAACGAACCATACTAGCCAGTGTGCACCTTCCAATCAGCAAGGATGAACAACGCGAACCTGCCACTGATCCACATGTGCGAGTGCGTGCTCGATCCTGTCTATAGGAAGCTGGCGGCACCTAGTCCTGGCCTGCAGGAGACAGTGCGAGCTTGTCACTGATCCACGCGCGCGAGGGCGCGCCCGATCCTGACTATACGAGCCTGGGCGCTCCTAGTCCTGGCCTGCAGGAGATACCGCAAGCCCAAGACAAGGGCACGCACAAGGGCACACAGGACACACGAAAGCGGGCACGCACAACATCGAGGGCAAATGGGCACGTGCAAGGCAGCGGGAACTAAAGCAGGCGAGCGCGGGGCAGTGGGAACTAAAGCGGGAGTGTGCGGGGCAGCAAGACCAAACATGCGCGTGCAGAATAGTGAGAACTAAAGTGGGCGCGCAAGGGGGGTAGATGCAGCCTTGCGA